AAGCTTCTTCTTTTATATTGGTTTTTTTTATTGGGTTTTACAAACAAGAATGATGTTATACAAATAAGTATACCAAGTTTTCTCATGTCATTTGTATATCACAAAAATAGCATAATAATTGTTGAAAAATATCTACAATATGTGTTTCATTATTAGTGGTGAATGCATAAATTATTGGTTTATGAATTGGTTTAAACAATTGGGAAGAAGAAGAGGGGGAGGGGAAGACTGGGAGTGGCGAGTGGGTAGGGTGGGTGGTTATGCTTCATTATTCTACTTAGAGTGGTTTTTAAAAATATTTAAATTGTGTCTTAAACTTCTGCTATAAGATGCATAAGCTGCAATGTGACCGGTTTGTATCAATATTCACATGGTTATGTGATCATGACTAGATAACATCCACCACAACATTTGCAGATAAGAATTTGCAAGGATATACAGTACAGCATTCATTTGAACTCCAAGCTGTTTCACAAAGCACCCTCTGGTGGCAAACAGAAAGAAAGCATTTACACACCCACTTTACTTTCCCCCCAGGTATCTCTTTCAGGCAGCGGTGGCCCACGATGATGCCTTTCAAGGGATCTGGCCTTGTGCTCCTCACCTTTCTGGTGTCTGTTCTGGCACTGGGAGCCTATTGTGAAACCCCCTATGAGAAGTTCCTAAGGCAGCACTACGATAATCCCAAGAGCAATGTTGGAAAGCAGTATTGTGACGTCATGATGAAAAGACGCGGACTGGACAGACCATGCAAGGAAGTGAACACCTTCATCCACGGCACCAAGAATAATATCAAATCTGTGTGCACTGATACTGGAGGGAAGGATTATGGGAACGGGCTGAGGATCGCTCTCCGCCCCTTCACTGTCACCACCTGCAAGCACAAAGGCGGCTCAACTCGCCCACCTTGCAAGTACTCTGATAACAAGTCATCCAGATACATCGTCATTGCCTGTAATGAGAATAAAGAGCCTGTGCACTTCGACGAAAGCATCATTGTCACAGTGTAAGATTTCCAACGCCCAGATCCCAAATATTCAGCTTTTTAACTATTATGCCATCCCTTGCAACTCCACTGAAAACCCCCCCCTTTGCTGCCATTCTGTCCAGCTCTGCTTTACTGCAATTAAAAAACAAACAAAGAAAACACCCTTAAACCATAGTGGCAAAGAAACCTGCTTTGATTCTGTTAAACCAGCAATGTCTGTCACTATTAAAGTTGCATAGCATTTGATGTGTGTTTAATTTCATTTCTTTTTCTTTTTCTTATTGCATCCAAGGGAGGGAATGTGGAATGCAGTACTGCACTGTCTGAGATTTTCTTTTGTGTTTCTGCCCACATGGGTGGTAGGCTGCACCAATCAAATCAAATCTTTATTACGGTCATAGACCAGCATAAGGAGGGAAAGGTACAATCATTTAAAGTCTAAAAACATTTTGGTGTTGGTTTGTTTTTTTAAAAAAAAGCAGTTAAAACAGAAAGTATATATATATAAAAGTCTATCAGAATCCAAAAGAAACTCAGAGTCTAAAAGAGGAGTTAGGAACATTAGACAAGAATGAAAGAGCATAAAAGGTTAGTATATATAAGACTATAGCTGTCAGTCTACAGAGCACTCTAATATGAATGCTCATTATATCTAGTTTGTGTCACAGGTCATCATCCGATGAATTTTGAGCGCTGCTGTGCAGAATCTGGAACGTATGTTGTAGCAGGATTGGTATCTGAAAGCAGCAGGGAGGTATAGAATTGTCCTGTGCACCCTGGGTACTTATGCAGTAATGGTAAGATGAGGGTAGTACAAATGTCTCTATAATAAAGATAATGGAGAAGCACATGCTCTGTTGTTTCTATTTGTCCAGAGTCACAGGCTCATTGTCTCTCCAGGTAAGCAATCTTCCTGTATCGGCCTTCAAGGACAGCTGAAGGGTGGGCATGACATCAAGCCAAGGTAAAGGCCCTCCAGCACTTAGGGATTTTGAGTTTAGCTAGACATACCATAGGGGAGGCATAGTACCTGGACGATTCATTGGCAGTAAAAGTTGAGGCCCTGGCTAGATCCAATTGGTGTCTGCAACACATTTTATGAGAGCACGCAGGCCACAACCATTTCCTGTCAGGAATTATGGTGTGGTGGCATACAGTTATTCCAAGTGAATCATTGTTGGGGAGGACATATTGTCTGCTGGGAGATGGATAGGAGGTTTCTTGATGCTCATGACTGAAGCAAAACCAGGTTTCAGCAAGAAAGGTATAGCAGTCAAATATTAGGGTGGGGAGCTGTCACCACTGCCTTTCTCCTTTTTTCCATTTCCCCATGCCCAAATGTCCAGATTTTCTCCTTCCATTTGACCCCCACCCATAGGATATTCACAATATAGAGCGCATATGGTTCAGCATTAATGTCTGGCAGCTTGGAATGCTTCCCCCAACACTTTCGCAACTCTGGTTCCCCACTCAGTTCTGTCCCAGTGTGCAGAGTTCATGTTTATAGACACAGCCAGATGTCATCATGTGGTCAGGCACAACAACCCCAGGGCTGCTTCTGAGCACATTCCACAGGATGCCTAATAAATAGTCATCTTGCCGTTTGTGGCTCTGTGGGTGCTTTGAGGCCGAGAGTAAATATAATGGACAATGTAAACTCCCTTGTTTGGGAGACAAATGTTCCCCTTGAATGTGTGTGGGGATGTTCAGACCCACATGGGAATCTAGCTTCCAAGTCAGCTTGGAAATCTGTTGGAAACCGAGAGAAAGATAAATCTTCAGGTGGTATTGTTAGCAATAGAGCATCAACCCAAAGGTCAGATGTGTCTCTGCAGGAGGTATCCCCCAGACCATTTTTTGAGACAGTGTTTTTGAAGTGGAAGAAGCAGGGAAGAGGAGATACTGAACCTTTACCCACCAGCTATTTTGCCCTCCTGGACCCCCTTCTAACAAGCCATTTCATTTCATTTATTGAATTTATATGCCGCCCTATGCCCAGAGGTCTCAGGGTGGTTCACAAAAAGGATTGCAATATATAAAATCAAAACAATAACGCCCCCACCCCAAAAGAGCCACATTTTAAAGGGTATAGGGTGTTGATCAGGTCAGCCAAGGTAAAGGTAAAGGTAAAGGTAAAGGACCCCTGACAGTTAAGTCCAGTCACAAATGACTCTGGAATTGCGGTGCTCATCTTCCTGGACAAGGGAGCCGACGGTTGTCCGCAGACAGTTTTTTTGGGTCATGTGGCCAGTACTTATTTATCTACCTATTTATCTACTTATTTATCTACTTGCACTTTTTGGCGTGCTTTTGAACTGCTAGGTTGGCAGGAGCTGGGACCGAGAAACGGGAGCTCACCCCATCGCGGGAATTCAAACCGCCGACCTTCCAATCGGCATTCCCAAGAGGCTCAGTGGTTTAGACCACAGTGCCACCCGCGTCCCTCAGGTCAGCCAAAGGCCTGGTTAAAAAGGAATGTTTTTGTCTGGTGCCTAAAGGTGTATAATGAAGGCGCAAGGAGAACCTGCCTGGGGAGAGTGTTCCACAGATGGAGAGCCACTGCAGAGAAGGCCCGTTCTCATGTTGCCACTCTCCTGACTTCTTGAGGAGGAGGCACACGAAGGAGGGCCTCAGGAGGTGATCTCAGGGTCCAGGTGGGTTGATATGGAAAGAGGAGGTCCTTCGGGTATTGCCTCATGGAGCACACACACACCATTATAGAGGAATGAAAAATGTGTATGTGAATAACTTCAACTTTTACAGCAAGTTAATAAATTACTAAAGCTATAAGTAAGTTAATAATTCACAGCAGCATGTGAAAGTTACAGAGAAGGTTTGTTTTGAACAAAGAAAGGGCTCTCTCTCTCTCTCTCTCTCTTTCCCTCCCCAAAGAGTTGAAGATAATTTGCAAGGAGGACCAGTGATAGTGAACCATTGAGCAGAGTTCATTAGTGCACACAGTGCCAGATTTACGTATAAGCTAAACAAGCTATAGCTTAGGGCCCCACTCTTTTGGGGCCCCCAAAAAAATTAAAGGGAAAAAAACGGATGTACATTTCCAAAATATAAGATAAAACCAAATAAAATAAAACCTACATACAGCAAAAGTGTTTTGTGTTGTGTAGGCTCCTATTTGTTGTGTGCAAATGGCTTAAGATACCTACTAGGGCCATAAATTACCATATAGCATATATTCAACACAAAAAAACAGAAACAATTTGTTGTTGACAAAGGACAGCTGGACCTATAAGGGGCCCCATTACCTTCAGTAGCTGAGGGCCTCATCAAACCTAAATCCGGCCCTGAGTGCACATGCTCATATTGAGGTCACTGGTCGCCCTTGCACATTCTTCACTTAAGATAACTTAAGTGCCCAACTAGATCAGGCCAAAGGAACAACGGAAGGTGTTTTATACTGAGTCAGGTCACTGGCCCACCTAGCTCAGTCTACATTGACTGGCAGTGGCTCTGCTTTGCAAACAGAAAATCCTATGTTCAGTCCCTAAAATCTCAAGGTAGGACGGGGAATGTCCTGTGCCTGAAATCCTGGAGAACCAATGGCCTCACTCAGTATAAGGCAGAGAATGCAAGACTATCAATAGCACAGGCCCATGCCACAAGATTCAGGTTTCAGCGAGGGAAGATGGACAAGATCTGTGACATTTCACTCTCAGAGGGAGAGGAGGCTGATCTGAACTGCTCTTCTTTAGCTCCAAAGTGCAGTCGTCTTCTTCAGTCTAATTTTCTCAGCAGCAGTTATTTACTCCTCCCTGGGTCCTCCTTCACTTGGTTGACGTGTAACAGAAGAAAGTGGCTAGTGATGTTTTCCTTTCCAAATATTATCAGTTCCAGATGCTCTGCATCTTTTCTTTCCTTAGAAACATGAAACAAAAGTCTCTCCCCCCCTCCTGCCGCCCTTGATCAGCAGGGTGCGGTTTTCAGCCTTGTCCTGGCTTTGTCAACACTGAGGCCCTAACACACTTTTCAAGGGCGAGATGATGATGTTGATTTTTTTTTATATAAAAAAAAATTGAACCAGATCCATTTGTTAATAAGCAACGAGTGGTCTAGAAACAGCCAATTTGCCTCAAACAGCTTTGCAATGGAGCCTCCCACTTTTCCACACAGTCCAGAGGATTGCAAAATATGCCATTAAAAAACAAAAAAAGGTTTTCTGGGAACTTGATCTGTTTCGCCATCAGGGTAAAACAAGATCTCGAGAAGGGAAAAACACAGCTCAGAAGGGGACCATTTTGCTCTGCAAGGCAGGTAGGATCTGCTGAAAAAAGTGAGGGGATTAGGGCCCAATCATTCAAATGAGTTGCTATAATTAAATGTTCTGGAGTGTATGGGGTGTTAGGGAAGGGGGTAGTATCTGTGGTGAGAGACGTGTCATGCTCCTTCTTCTTCCCCTGCCTTTGGTCCCCACCCTGCACTCAGCTCTCACCTGTGGCTCCCAGAAGCTGTCAGCATGTGACAGCAGCCACACCCCAGAACAGTTTTGACTGGCAAGCTAAACCAGGTGAGGGCAGCCGATGGGCCTCAAACCCTCAGTGAGTTAGGGACTTCCGCTGCATGTGAACAGTGCCAGATTTACATATACGCTAAACAAGCTATAGCTTACAGCCCCACTCTCTTGGGGCCCCCCCAAAAAATTAAAGGAAAAAAACAACTGGATGTACATTTCCAAAATATAAGATAAAAAACAAATAAAATAAAACCTACATACAGCAACAGTGTTTTGTGTTGTGTAGGCTCCTATGATGTAAGTCATGGGCCCCGCCTGCTAGCCTGCTCCCTAAAATATCACTGGTTTGCTCATTTCTATATATAGGGTGCCTACATTCTGCATGAGAGGCGCGGGTGGTGCTGTGGTCTAAACCACTGAGCCTCTTGGGCCAATCAGAAGTATAAAAAATAATCATTATTTTCCATCTTACTGTAGGTTTTGTTTCATTTAAAAAAATAAAATTTTATTTTATGGTTTATTGTTGTTTATATTTTGAATGACATGTATATGGGGACAGTTAGGGAGGTGAGGGACATGGGTGGCGCTGTGGGTTAAACCACAGAGCCTAGGACTTGCTGATCAGAAGGTCGGCAGTTCGAATCCCCGCGACAGGGTGAGCTCCCGTTGCTCAGTCCCAGCTCCTGCCCACCTAGCAGTTCGAAAGCACGTCAAAGCGCAAGTAGATAAATAGGTACCGCTCCGGCGGGAAGGTAAACGGCATTTCCGTGCGCTGCTCTGGTTCGTCAGAAGTGGCTTAGTCATGCTGGCCACGTGACCCGGAAGCTCTACGCCGGCTCCCTTGGCCAATAAAGCGAGAGGAGCGCCGCAACCCCAGAGTCAGTCACGACTGGACCTAATGGTCAGGGGTCCCTTTACCTTTAGGGAGGTGAGGGCTGTCTGTGCACTGAGCGTGAGTTCCCATTTGCTCTGCTGCACCAGCCTCCACTGGTGTTTATCACTGATCGATCGATCTCTCAATCTATGCTATGGCCCCTGCTTCTCTACCTGGAGATGAGGAAAAACCCCAACTATCTAAACTATGTGTTCAACACAGATGAAAAAGCTTGTGACCTCATAAACAGCTTTCTAGATTGTACTCATTTGTTATCCTGGCAGAAGACTAAAGCAGAAGACTAAAGAATCAACTCAACCGCCCTGCTTTTTAACATGTTCAACACTGAGCTTTTTGCAATCGGCTTTGGTGAGCTGAGCCATCCTTTCTGTGACACTTCCTCCTTCCTGCAAAGAGCTTTCAGCTCCTTCTCTTCCCAGGTATTGGTGGCCCTTACATGCTGCTCAAGCGACCTTTCGCTTTCTTTGTAGAAGCCGCATTTTGTTAACATTCCATGAGCACCTCTTTCCCACTCAGAGGTTAGAACACTCAGGAATGACATCACAGAAGGCCAGCCAATGCCTGCGGAGGATCTGTGTTGATATTCAACCTAGCCAATCAAAGCAGTGGCTGCTCTTCAGCTTTTACTGTACAGTGGTACCTCGGGTTAAGAACTTAATTCGTTCCGGAGGTCTGTTTTTAACCTGAAACTGTTCTTAACCTAAGGTACCACTTTAGCTAATGGGGCCTCCTGCTGCTGCCGCGCCACTGCTGCACAATTTCTGTTCTCATCCTGAAGCAAAGTTCTTAACCTGAGGTATTATTTCTGGGTTAGCGGAGTCTGTAACCTGAAGTGTCTGTAACCTGAAGTACCACTGTATATAGTTACACAAAATCATTTAGTTTTGTGTGCAAATTGCCTTACAATTTTTTAAAAGAAATAAATAATAATTCCCTTCTCCATTCCTAAGTGCGGCGGACACCATGGCTCAGACGACTGCCTGCTGGCTGCTGCTATTCCTGATGGTCCTGCCAGCGCTTACCCAGAGGGAATCCCGTTCCGAGAAATTCCGCCGGCAGCACATCGACTTCCCAAAGACCAGAAGCGACATGGATGCCCGGCGCTATTGCAACCTCATGATGCAGAGAAGGGGGATGACCGACGGTGTTTGCAAACCTTCCAACACCTTCATCCATGGGGACCCCATGGCAGTAGATGCCACCTGCGGTGACGGGGGGACCTACGCCAGCGAGAATTACTATGACAGCAACACACCCTTTGACCTCACAGCTTGCCGCATTCTTGGGGGAGGCTCCCAGAGACCCCCCTGTAACTACAGAGGCAGGTCCACCTCCCAGCGCATTCGGGTCGGCTGCACTAACGGGGTGCCGGTTCACTTCAAAATGCCTCTTTAGATGTCTCTGTTTACTTGTATTGAATCACAATGCTTTAAATCCCTTTTTAGAATCGGGTAGAATTTTAAAAAAAAATCTATTTCTGTTTGTGTATCTCAACTGCAATTTGCCTTTTCAAATGCTGCGGTTTGCTTTCTCTGAGGCGCAGTCCCTCCAGCCTTTCCCTCCTGCTTTTGTATTTTAATAAAATGCATGCCATCTAGTGCTCATAAAGCAATATGAATGCATTTTCCTATCCTTGCATTTTAACACCCGCTAAAGATTAAGGCTGAGATCTGAGAACACCTGTGACTGAATGGTCTTCTCTTGCAGTTTCATGCAATAAAATATTCCTTTACATATGTAGAACTGTGTTGTTATTTGCAATAAAAGACGGCAGTGAAGTGGCAGCCAGCTAAACATGCCCTACTCCAGGACACTCCATTCCACCCTCTTTGAACTTTTTAAAGGTCCTCAAAACTTAAGGTCTCCCCGCTTGGGTACCTTAGTAAACTTTGGGGTTTCCCAGGACCTCTCCTTTTGTGTGTGGATAGTGTTTGTTTGACTATGGAGTTTAAATGTGTTTGCTATACAGTGGTGCCTCGCAAGACGAAATTAATCCGTTCCGCGAGTCTCTTCGTCTTGCTGTTTTTTCGTCTTGCGAAGCACAGCTATTAGCGGCTTAGCAGCTACAGGTATAAACTCGTTCCCGCAACTGCAAGCCTCCATCCCTAGGGAGCATCTGGCCATTGCATAAGCCTCATCTGACCTCTTAAGCAGTCCCTCCTGACGCACTTACATAACACAAGCCCCGACCGCCGCCATCCCAGCGACCCCAGAAGATAAGATCTGCAGCAAGCACCCCGCACCTCCGATCCCGGGGCACGCTCAGCCAAAGCATCCCCGGACACCTGTCCCCCCGCGCCTTTGCGCAGCGCTCTGCAGAGTGGAGCGATGAGCCCGGCCGATCGCAGGCAGGGCAAGCAGCGGCGAAGGCGGAGAGAGCGAGGCCCAGAGGGAGGAGTCTCCGGCAACGCCATCAACGGCCCCGCCACAGCTCCGGGTCCTTGGAGCCCTCCGGCTGCCGACTGCCTTTATTTTGCTGCAGGAGCCTCCTCTGCACCAGGATCCTCGCACGCTCCCTCCCTCTCTCCATGCCTTTTAGGTGAGTGGCGTGCTCGGGCTGACTTTGGACGACCCACAGCGGGGCTTCCCTCGGCCGCGCGACCGGAGCTCGCCTTTGCGGTCACTTTGAGAAAAAGGAAAAAAAACTCACAAGAAGTTTCATCTTGCGAAGCAAGCCCATAGGGAAAATCGTCTTGCGAAGTGACGCAAAAACCGAAAAACCCTTTTGTCTTGCGCGTTTTTCGTTTTGCGAGGCATTCGTCTTGCGGGGCACCACTGTATATACCAGTAGCCTCATAAAGGGCATTGCTCAGGAATACAAACAAACAAACAAATCCAGTCTTGAAAACTTCAGTCTACCATTTTGTTGCATGATGATGTAGTATGATTGTATCCAAACAAAGAGCCGAATTTCTCCCGCATCTCTTCCAGGGACGTCAGGTGTTGATTCTGGTTCCTGGGGAGAAGTCAATTTGGAGAACAAGTTATAGCTCATTGTTAAGAGCACAATAATGTCCCCAGTTCAGTCCCTGGCATCTACAGATTTTGCTTTGTTTTTAAAGTTATCAGGTAGTTTGAAAGGCCTCTGCCTAAGACCTTAAGGAAGTCAGAGAATGCAATAGTGAACTAAGTAGGTGAACCTGTTCCATTCTAACAGGCTCAAAAGCAGCAACTTAGAATTCAGTATTGAAAGTTGTTAAAACAAATTATAGTAACATGAATAGGATGAGCCATGAATGCACAGGAACCTATGAAAACATGGGTTCTGGTGGCTGATTTTTTGTGATGTTATCTAGTCTGCACCACACAAATTTTCTTTTAGCAGTTTATTACCAGTATCAAAATGGGACGTGGGTGGCGCTGTGGGTTAAACCACAGAGCCTAGGACTTGCCGATCAGAAGGTCGGCGGTTCGAATCTCCGCGACAGGGTGAGCTCCTGTTGCTCGGTCCCTGCTCCTGTCAACCTAGCAGTTCAAAAGCACATCAAAGTGCACGTAGATAAACAGGTACCACTCCGGCGGGAAGGTAAACGGCGTTTCCGTGCACTGCTCTGGTTCGCCAGAAGCGGCTTAGTCATGCTGGCCACATGACCCAGAAGCTGTACGCCGGCTCCCTCGGCCAATAAAGCGAGATGAGCGCTGCAACCCCAGAGTCGGTCACGACTGAACCTAATGGTCAGGGGTCCCTTTACCTACCTTTACCTACCAGTATCAAGATGTGTGGTTTCACCCACTTTTAAGTGGCTCTCAGTGATGGCAACAGCAAACCTGTTCATGACGCCATTACTCTGAACAAGCTAAATTGGCTTGTGAAAGTCACCTTTTGTAATCTCAAGTGTTTGCACACTTTCCCCCAGAAGAGAGGCCTCCATTTGACAACAGAAGTTGGTAGGGGTGTTTGGAAACAGGCCAATGACCAAATGATTGATATGTTTCTAGACGTTTTTCAAAGGGGAGGTAGGAAGTTGCAAGGCAGCAGTTGGCATGCCTCATGAGGCAATGTATCTGCCAAGATTGAACAGTCTTGTTTGTTCCTCTAAAGAAAACAGAAATTACAAAATCAACCAAACACTGAAAACATGACTGAATCAGAGCCCCAAATGAGTACAGGGAAGAAAAACACCAAAGTAGTTAAAATGAACGTAAGGAACGTAATGTAATAATAGCCCTGCTGGACCAAACTGAGTATTGCAGGGAGATTAAAAAGCACTAATTGTCCATTTGTTTCTTTGAAGTGACTCCTGGAAATGGGGCAGCCCCTCCTAGTGAGGCAGGCCAGCTACAACCTGTTTCGCCCAGAAAAAATCTTAGGCAGTGAAAAGGCTTTTGGCTTTATCTAGATGGGTTTGCCCCAGCCATCACCTTTGGGATAAGAAATAGGAGACTGGGTAAGAGATAAGCAAGAGAGTGGCTCCAAAAGGCTGGTGAACAATAGCTTATGATAAATTCAGAAAATCCTCCTGCCTACAATGGATTGTTCCTGTTTGCTACTCCTTTATTAGTGGCCAAATATTGACCGACTCAGGAGACAATGGTGTTCCCATCTCAAGACAAGGCCTAGGATCAGAGCTAAGAATGTCCAGAATGTTGCTGAAGAAATCTAGTGTTTACACTTCAGAGTTCAACAGAAGTGCAATCCCCTGTGAAACTGGACTGTCCTTTGTGTTTCATGGAGTTCTGTTGCTCTAATAATTATACAGTTGGAGTGTAGAGAATAGGGAGTCATAGAGCTGGACGCAGCTGTTGTGCCTCGTAAGAAGGGAACGTCTATCAAAAATCAGTGAGGACAATATTGAGGTACAGTCGTACCTTGGTTCTCGAATGGAATCTGTTCCGGAAGTCCGTTCGACTTCTGAAAACGTTCAAAAACCAAGGCGCAGCTTCCGATTGACTGCAGGAGTTTCCTGCAGTCAATCAGAAGTCACGGAAGCCGTGTTGGATGTTCAGCTTCCCAAAAACATTCGCAAACTGGAACATTCACTTCCGGGCAGAGCCGTAGCTAGGTGATCTTGTGCCCCTGGCAGAACTGTCCTGATTGCACCCCCAGCCACTGACAAATTAGCTCTTCTTTCCGCCTCTCCTCCAACCCTTCCTGTAAGCTCTTCGCAATGTGATAAGATAGTCAATGCAGCTTTAAAGTTCCAAGAAGAGTCAGGAATACGAAACGTGGGATAAAGTGGGGTGAGGTGCTTAAATTTATCTGAGCTCAATATTCATTAAAATAGTCTTTAAAAGGAGTAAGAGAAAATAAAAAGATAAAATCAACGGGCTCACATTAGTAGAGTGCTGTCCGCCATCATTACCGGAAGTTAAGTGAATCACCCCCATTCAATTCACCCTCTATTTAAAACCTTTTCTTATGAGGCAATAATCAATATTTTTATTTATAGACATATTTATGGACATAGTTTTAACCAATTTTGCACACGCACCGCTCGCCTGCACCCCTGGCAGGGGCCCTCCTCACCACTCCCTAGCTACAGCCCTGCTTCCAGGTTTGCAGTGTTTGGGAGCCAAAACGTTCGAGTTGCAAGGCGTTCAAGAACCAAGGTACGACTGTACTTCTTTTTGCCACTGCAGGAGAAAAAAAGCATTGATGTATGTTTGCTCCATGCTACTAACAGGTTTCTTCATTTCTACCAACCTCATCCTACTTAGCTTCCTCCCTTGCAAGATGAAGAAATACAGAGGTGTCTTAGTTTCTGGGATGTCTGTTCACAATGCACATGATCGCTTTAATCTTGGAGGTGTGTCTTGTACAGCTCCATGGAAGGTTTTCTCTCTCTTTCTCTACATATATATATACACACTTTATAAATGTGATAATATTGGAAAGAGGGCCCCAGTTAAAATCACCCTTGACTCTCTTGCAGCTTGGCACAAATTCATTTATAAGCCCTGCAATCTTTTATTCCTCAAGTGGCGTTTCTCAAGACCCGTTGACAGTAAACACAGTTTCAGAGCTACAAATGGTTCGTTGTAAGAATTAATATGCATGTTTGATGAGTGAGTGTTTCACTGCATGCATATGTAACCTGTGAACTGCAGGGTGAAGCCAGGGTGAACTGCAGTTTCTCAATCTGGATACATATGCATAGTAAAATGCATGCATTGCAACCAGCAGCATGCAGTGGATGACTTGCCGGGTCCAACATGAAAGTGCTGTCTGCTTTGTAAAACTCACCGAGTCCAGTATGTACAAAATGCAAATACTATTTTGTCAGTCCCGTAGCACATTCGTATTCTAATTTCTTCATCTTCTCTTGTCTTTTTCTATCTGATGTATTCCTTAGAAGAGTACAACATTAAATCATTTGAACACTGGCACTGGTAGATGCTGGCACAGGCAAACAAGACGAGGGTTCCTAGATATTCCCCTGTTTCGTCCCAAGGGGCTTTAACAGCTGTGCGTGGTTCTAAATCATATAAACATAGACACTTTGTAATATATCAGCTGTACACATTACAAAGAAATATACAAGCATATAATAAGTGTACATACCGTTACTGTATATAACAGCTACATGGAACTTATTCGTGATAGATTTTCAGTAGTGGTAAACCTGTAAGCCTGAGTACTCTTCCTTTAAGAGTGAATTAATACGAATTATCTGCACCTGTCACCTTACTAGTGTTGCCCCCTTATACAGTACTCAGGCTTACAGGTTTACCATGACTGAAAATCTATCACGAATGAGTTCCATGTTATGTTATGTACATTTATTATATCTTTGTATGTTTCTTTGGAATTTGTACAGCTGATATATTAGAAATTAGAATATGAATGGACTACAGGACTGACAAAATAGGAATTGCATTTTGTACATCCTGGACTCGACGGTCAACTGAATAAGCTACATTTTAATATGTTATGTCACGATGTTCATTTTGACATTATGAGAAGCTGTATCTAATTTTGAGAAGTAGTTTCTAGCAAATAACTTTATTTAAAATTTAAAGATTTAAAATTTACGGCTTGTAGTGCTTTAAAAGAAAATTATATGAAAAGGATGTATTGATGGTATTTATCTCCAGTAAAGTTAGCTAAAATGTATAAGAGTGTTTATTGTGGGGGAGGAAGGGAAAGGAGGTTGTGAGCCGCTTTGAGACTCCTTAGGGTAGTGATAAAGCAAGATATCAAATCCAAAATCCAAAAATCCAAATCCATAAGAATTTATCTAATGTGTGCTGGAAGTGTAAAGATAAAATAGGTACATTTTATCATATGTGGTGGTCATGTAAAAAGGCAGTAGGCTTCTGGGAAATGATTTATAACAAACTGAAAAAAAATGTTTAAGATAACTTTTGTTAAAAAAAACAACCAGAGGCCTTTTTATTAGGAATAACAAGTGAAGACTTACCAAGAAATGTTAAAAGATTATTTATTTATGTATGCAACCACAGCAGCAAGGATGCTATTTACCCAAAGACGGAAGGAAGAGAAAGTTCCAATGATGGAAGAATGGATAACAAAGAGGACAGACTATGCTGAAATGGAAAAGATGACAGGGAAGATCCGCGAGAAAGATGAAGAAAAGTTTGTATAAGACTGGACAAAAATTATAGAATACCTTTAAGTTCACTGTGAATAGTTAAAAACTTTAGGAGGATTGATACAGCATCTATGAAGTACCATGTACAGTAGAACCTCAGCTTATGTTACCCTCAGGTAACAGAAACTTCGGGTTGCGAAAGCAGCAAACCCGCTTCCGGGTTTTGCTGCTTGCGCATGTGCAGAAGCTATCTCTGCACCGCAGCACTTTTTAAAGCCATGTGTGCACGCAGAAGCGTCACCTCCAGTCGCAAAACCTCAGGATCCGGACAGAGCTCCGGAACGGATTCTGTTTGCAACCAGAGGTACCACTGTATTAAGGTGATTAATGGATTTGAGGTTGAATAGAAAACAAAACAAAGGGGAGACATTGGCAACCGGGGGGGGGGAGTCCAGAAGGGGTAAATAATTAATTAGTTTTAATTTGTGTTATGTTGAAAATTTCAAAAAAAAAATTTTTTTAAAAAAAAGACAGTTCTAGCATCCACCCAAACAGGGAATAATTAGGGGGTAAGCAAATCTGTCAGTTTCATTTTCTCTCCAGTTCTCATTTTTAAATCCAATCTTAAATTCACCTCCACAGCAGTTTCATTTTTTAAAAAGTCTCCATGAAAATTCATCAGCATTTTGTGTGAATTTCTCCTAATACATACATGTTTTATGCCATTTTGCCCAACGCATACTTTTTTTTTGCAAAGCAATTTGCTCTTCTTTAATGCCAGTTTAATGTGATTCTCAATCATATGTGCATTTATTTATTTATTTTTATTTTTTTACATATGCGTTTATAAGCACACTTTACCCCAGCACATGCATTCTTGCACACATTGCCTGGCAGCAGAACTGCGCTGAAAAATTCACCAAAGTGCGAATTTTAAGGTTGGCCATTTTTCAATAGGCAGAATGTTCCAGAAAGTGTGAATTAAGTATGTTGACCATTAAGTGCGAATTGAATCAAATTTCTTCCCCATTCCCAGTAACAGTATTGTTTAAATCAATCAAGAAGTGATGATGATGATGATTTGCAGGATTCACACACCCAGGAGAAATATTCAGAAGGATTCAGGAAGTAGTGTTATCTTTACTGGTTAACAGAGAGACTTCAAACCACGATGAGGTCAACTGTGTCTTGATCCTCAGTGCATTTGTTCTTCTTAATCCCTACCCTCCATCTCAGTGATCCACACATTGTCTGCCTGTTCAATCCAGCTGCATGTGATCAGTACTAACCTTTTACCAGCAGCTGGCTAGGCTGGGTATAAAGAGCCCAAAGGGAAATGTTCAGTTCTACAGCAAACCGAATTCACCGCTCTGACAGCCCCCTGGGTGATTTGGAGGCATTTCTGAGTAGTGCTGGCTGAGAAGATCGCGTAAGTTGGTGCAGAAATCGTTCTGGGTGATAAAATTGTGGTCCTTAGCTTGTGTCAGGGAGTGAGGCTGAGTTTGTCGCCAAAGGAAACATTGGTTGCAACCCAGCTAGACTTACACCGTGTAGGCTAGGGGTGGGGAAGCTGCCAACCTATGGATACTATTGGACTTCAAACCCCATCAGTGCCAGCCAGCATGCCAAGTGGTCAGGGATGATGGGAGTTGTAGTTCACAACATCTGAAGGGCCACAGGTTTGCTCTTCTTGCTGCAAAGGGAGAATGGAGGGGCCCTTGCTGTGACAATTTACAGGTCAAACTACGTGAGGCGGCGGCAGCCCTGTTTGTTTCCTCGTGCGCATTTGTGACGCAGAAGATGGAGAGGAGAGATTTTGTGTTTGGCATAAAAATAAACACGAACGTTTGCAGGGACCCTTCCCAGCACCACCTCCCTATGGGCCAGTGCCTGCTTTCTCCCCCATCCCAGCTCCAGTATCAACTAGGCTGTAAAGAAGGGGAGAATGGGAAGGCTTAGTTCCCTTCAGCTGCATGTGTGTTATTTGGCCTTAAAAGCACCTTTCTCCCTTTTTTAATACATTTTTATTAAGTTTTTAACATATCATTTCCAACAATCATTTAACATAAATTCTTATGCAATATTTTAGACTTGGGTCAACTACCTACCCCTGAAGATTTTCCATTCTTTATCACTTAATCTGCATTTCTTAATTTCTCTATTACTTTCGATTGTCCTTAACTGATAAATCTCTTCATAGTCTTCCTTGCAATATTTCGCATAGTCCTCCTTACAAAACTTCTTGCAGTCCTGCTGGCGTAATCTGTTTATTACAATTGCTTTTCAAATAATTCAAATATTTACTCCAGTCCTCTAAGAATCTCTGGTCCCGCAGGTTTCAAACCCTTCCTGTCAGTTTGTCTAATTCTGCATAGTCCATTAATTTCATCTGCCACTCTTCTTTCGTCGGTAATTCTTCTTGTTTCCATTTTTGTGCCGACAATATTCTTGCTGCCGTTATTGCATATAAAAACAATTTACAATCCTGTCTGTTAATATAAAAGCACCTTTCTCAGCTTTGTAAATGTGAAGAATATTCACTGACTAGAAGCAGAGATCGTCCTTTCTTATCACTGAACACCCGTTATGCTGGCTGGGGCTTATGGTAGTTGGCGCTGAAAAGCTTCTAGAGGGGGGCACAGGATACCCAGACTCTGTGCTCCCCCCAGACTAAAAAAAAAAGATCCTAACAGTATGTGCTTTGCAGTCATGACACACAAGAAGGTCTGAAGTGTGTGACTGTGTGTTGTGTGTGTGTGAGAGAGAGAGAGAATAAGGCACCCTGCTGCATGTATCCACAACTATCCCTCAGAGGAAAGGGGGTCTCATGTAGCACTGATTCCCTTCCACACAGCAGAATCACCCAGAAAGTAAACCTCTATCGCTGAGCCTCTGACTAACTGAGCAAAAGGGTAAGGAATGTGTGAGACCCCGAGGGACTAGTTCCTTGTTACAATGGTAACAATACCTGAGTTTTGGGGGGTTTTTTTGGTTTTTTACTTGTTTGAAAGAAGTTATTTCCCCTTCCACATTTAGTGCTTCTTCTGTTACAAAATGGTAAATAAATAAATAATGGTAAACCCTTTTGTTCTCCAGGACTGTTCCCTTTCTTTCTTTCTTTTTTAAAATTACCTGTTATGTCCCAGAGCTGAGTCTTGCCAATGAAACCCACCTGTGGGTTTGCTCTAGTCCATGCAGAGCAAGAATTTGTGTGTGTGTGTGTGTGTGTGTGTGTGTGTGTGAGAGAGAGAGAGAGAGAGAGAGAGAGAGAGAGAGAGAGAGAGAGAGAAATTGCTAAAAGAGCACCTTTAAGATGATCGCTTGGTGTAATATTGAAAACACAGTCCTTGTGCCTTTCAAAAAGTGGGAATTCCGCCGTGTTTGACTTTGCTTTTCCCTGCCACCAAGCTATGCCTGATACACACCCTGCTTTGATAGAGAACCCTTCAAACATGTGAGAGAGACTTTGCCCTCTTTTGCATATGGGCGCCATAAAAACATTCCTGAACAGAAATTGAAGGCTATCGCAATCTCTCTCACACACAGTTTCTGCTTCATGACAGGCTAGCTATTGTTCTCTGTTGCCATCTAGTGTCAACTGCACCGACCTAGCCTACTTTTGCGGTGGGTGTCTTGAGACTGGGGCAAAGCAGCTCTCTCACATTAGTACTGTACAGCTAGATGTGACCATTTGACTTAAACCCCACACAGCAGCTGCCAGTCAGTGTGGACAGCATTGATCTAGATGGACCAATGGTCTGTGTTTGCCTGTAAACAATACTTATGGTATTGTTCAGTGCTTTTTTTCTAAAAAAAATGTTTAGGGGTACTCTCATTTTGACTCAACAAAATCACCATTTTATAGTTCAGATCAGGAAAGATAAAGACAGTAAATGGACAAAAGTACAAAGATTCACAAAATGTTTAGGGATATGCATATCCCTGCGTCGTCCCCAGAATAAAACCACTTGTATTGTTCACTGCATCACCAACAATGCAAGTAAAAATAAAGTAAAACAAGTAAAAAAACTCCATGTGGAGTTTCAATTTTTTGATTTTTTTCTGTTTTGTTTTCCTGTCAATGACGCTTCTTTAAATGCTATTTTTTATCTTGTCCTTCATTTGCAATGCGTATTTGTTTTACGACACACTGCAACCCATTTTTTAAAAATGTAACGTGATGCGAAATAAACATTTCACCTGCTTCCTTTCGATGGCTGCAGGTTCGTCGGAAATCAGCAGCAACAATGATCTCCCTGAGAGGAAACGAAGCCCTATTGCTGCTCCTGTTGGCCTCCTGCCTGATCGTAAGCCGTGTCTCCTCACAGAATCCTCGGCATGAGAAGTTCCTGAGGCAGCACAGCGACTTCCCCCGGACCAATGTAGCCGGGCAGGATTACTGTGGGGCCATGATGCTGCGCCGGGGGATGACGAGGCCTTGCAAAGACACCAACAGCTTTGTCCATGCACCCAGGAGCAATGTGAAGGACATCTGCGGCAGAGGCGGAACCCATTACCGCCGGGCCCTGAGGCTCAGCAGGGCACAGTTATCCGTCACCACCTGCAAGCTGCAGGGAACTTCGCGGGGCCAGTGCCGCTACTGGGCCCACACGGGACAAAGGCATATTCTCATAGGTTGCGACGCATCAGGGTGGCCCGTCCATTTTGAAGAAAGCAATTTCATGTAGGGCAGGCTTGCTTTTTCCACTTGAAAGCTGGTGTTCCACGGAGCTCACTCACAACAGAATTGTCACTTGAATCTCACTTACCCAAAGTTAACGTATGTATAGTGTGGTAAGAATTCGCCTATTATTTCTTGGGAAATAATTGTGTACAGCTGGAAACGTTGGCAGCATTAAGATGAATTTAATAGTGTAAATAAGTTTTGGTTGATGCAGTGCTTTTTTCTGGGGTATGCATACCCCTAAACATTTTTTGAATCTAAGTTTGGCCTCATTGAGGGGCAGTATTTCAATATGAATAGGAAAATGAGAGTACCCCTAAACATTTTTTTTTTTAGGAAAAAAGCACCGGATGGATGTAATAATGGAATGCTGAATGGTTTAGTTTTTGTAAAATATGCAGGGATTTATGATATGTAAAATGAACCATGGAAAGAGAAGAAGGAAAGTCATTGATATTATAAGGATGTAAAAATGAGTATTTTCAACTGTGAAACAGAAAATTTAATAAAAATTATATACAAAAAAAGAAAAGAAAAGAATTTATTGTTAAGTTGTGGGCGAACATATCAGATGACACAGCGATTCTTCCAAAGCAGCTCTTTATTTGTAAGCTGGAACAGAACTGAACTGAGGAGCTCAGTCAGCCTGCTTATATAGAGCAGTGTTTCCCAACCGGTGTTCCGCGGCACACTAGTGTGCCGCGGAACGTTGCCTTGTGTTCCGTGGGAGGGAGGCGGGCGAGTCGGGCAGCGAGAGGCGGGGCGGCGGCGGCAAGCACACGCGGGGCGGCGAGCGAGCTCCCTCCCACATCCCATCGCCGCTCGCTTCGGCCGTCCGGGAGAAACGCAGCGCGCCATCCCGCTGCCCCCCGACTTGGCTGGAAGGCTGGCGGGGGGAGAAGCCTGCTCCTCCCCGTCGCCAGCCCCGCAAACTCGGGGGACAGCGGGAGAGGCGCAGCGCGCCATCCCGCTGTCCCCCGACTTGGCTGGAAGGCTGGCGGGGGGGGGAGAGAAGCCTGCTCCTCCCCGTCGCCAGCCCCGCAAACTCGGGGGACAGCGGGAGAGGCGCAGCGCGCCATCCCGCTGTCCCCCGACTTGGCTGGAAGGCTGGCGGGGGGAGAAGCCTGCTCCTCCCCGTCGCCAGCCCCGCAAACTCGGGGGACAGCGGGAGAGGCGCAGGGCGCCATCCCGCTGTCTCCCGACATGGTTTGGAGGCTGGCGGAGGGCTTCCTCCTCCCCCAGCCCCGCAAGCTCCCAGAGCGATGCCAAAGCTGCGCGCAGCTTCGGCATGGCTCTGGGTCCCGTTCTGGGGGAGGGGGAAGCTCGGGCTTCCCCCGCCCCAGCCCCACGCCTGGCGGTGGGGGAATAAATTTTTTTACCCTTTATTTCCCTCCGCCCCCCCCGCCAGGCTTCGGAGGAGGTCCGAGGACAGTGGGGAAGACGCGCGTCCCTCCCGGCGCGACGCTGCGCGCTGACGTCACGGGGTTGTAATGGTGGTGTGCCTCGAGATTTTTTTCATCAAACAAGTGTGCCTTTGCCCAAAAAAGGTTGGGAAACACTGATATAGAGCTCCAGAACAATGTAACTGTTGCAACTTTCTAAAACTATCCAATCACTGAACGTCACTTTCGATCCTTCATTTGCATACAAACTATCCAATCACTGAACGTCACTTTCGATCCTTCATTTGCATAACTATCTACAGTATCCCCCTGCTGGCCCAGGGTGAGAACTTTAGTACATAACACCTATCTATTATTTATTTACAGGGGCTCATCAATTTAACAAAACATAACATTGCCCTTGCCTTGGATTAATGCAGGGTTGCTCACTATATAACCCATTAAGCCAGAAGTTCTATTTGGCCACTTGCCTGGGACATTAAAATTCAGATTAAGATGTTGTCAGATACCTGTCAGGCCACATAATACAGGGGTGGGGAACATGTGGACCCCCAAATATTGCTGGACTCCATTATCAGATCCAAAACTGCGGGACTGAATCATCCAGAGATTTCATACCACATCAAACAATGTGTTTCCCAAATTCAGCTGATATACATGAATGGGCAAAAGAGAGCAGCTGTTTCCCTGCCCTGTCTCTGATACTACTGGCAGGTGTCCATGCTGAGGTTCATTTGCATATGCTGTAAACCCACAAGATCCAAGACACATAGGGTCAATCTGCATGGTTGGTTACCTGATTCTTTCCAGAGCCGTCTCTCCTCCGCACACGTGGGACATATTGGAGATAGGTATCAATCTAATCTGGCCCACTGATATTCCTCCTCTTTCTCCAGCCATTAGTACAGTGGAACCTTGGTTCTCGAACTTAATCCGTTCCGGAAATCCGTTCAATTCCCAAAACTTTGGAAAAGCAAGGCGCAGCTTCCGATTGGTGCAGGCACTCCAGAAACAATAGCCGACAGCCACATCAGACGTTCGGCTTCTGAAAAACGTCTGAAAACCGGAACACTTCTGGGTTTTCAGCGTTCGGGAGCCGATTTGTTCGTCAACTAAGCCATTCGAGAAGCAAGGTTCCACTGTATAAGAAAAAACTTGTCCTGTTCTACATACATCTTTCCCTCCCTGACCCCCATCATTACAAAAATTAAAGCTGCATTTCCCACTGCTTTACAAACACACACAGTTTCTATGTTAGACAATCATAGGGTTAGTGGCATCAGGTCAGGGTCACCACAGATGTCTTTCCAGATGCCTTCAAGTTCCCCCACTCCACCTACTGAAATGAGGCTAGAAAGAAACATTCTTTTGTAGTTAGTACAATAAAGGTAAAGGTACCCCTGCCCGTACGGGCCAGTCTTGACAGACTCTAGGGTTGTGCGCCCATCTCACTCAAGAGGCCGGGGGCCAGCGCTGTCCGGAGACACTTCCGGGTCACGTGGCCAGCGTGACATCACTGCTCTGGCGAGCCAGAGCCGCACACGGAAACGCCGTTTACCTTCCCGCTTGTAAGCGGTCCCTATTTATCTACTTGCACCCGGGGGTGCTTTCGAACTGCTAGGTTGGCAGGTGCTGGGACCGAACGACGGGAGCGCACCCCGCCGCAGGGATTCGAACCGCCGACCTTTCAATCGGCAAGCCCTAGGCACTGAGGCTTTTACCCACAGCGCCACCTGCGTCCCCAGTTAGTACAATAGGCTGCAGCTTTTGCTTGGTTGCAGTGCATTTGTGGTGCCCACAACACACACATTTGCAAACGTGACCTTGAGGCCCAAAAGGTGGACAGCCTCTGCATTAGGCTACCTGCCCAACAGCTGAGGAAACTACTAAACTGTTGTCATTTTGGATTCAAGGGTTTCTGATTAGAGTGAAAATGAAATGTAACCCTGCATTTGAAAGTTGGCAACATTTTTGAACATTTGCATTTCAATATGTTTTCCTGTGATTTTTTTTCCTTGGATGATAATAGAACATATTGTGTATGATGATAATCTCAGCCTCGTTCAACATTTGAGAGAGGGATGCTCAAGGAATACAGGTTCAATACAGAATTGTGGATACGGATGCACTCAAGCTTTGTCCTGTGTCAGAACACCATGTACACCCAAGTGCTCACTTGTTTCTGTTCCTCTAATATAGTTGTTTTTTTAAAAAAAAGTCCAGGAATTATGTTGAAAAATAAAATAAAATACATAATGTGATATATGCACAAATATACAACTTACGCACAAGCTGCTCTTTATTCACATAAATGACCATGGGCGTAATGTGTGGGATTTCATGGTTTATGTGACCACCTATGTTCCACCCTGTTTTTTTCCACAGGCAGCATAATCTATTGGCCAGTGTGCATTCAGTACATATAATTTCAAAGGTGCAAAAGAAACTGAGCTCTGGAGGGAGGATCTCAGCTTTCTGGGGAGAGATTTCTGCTATAGAGATTTGTTATATACATCTATGCTTAATGTAGTATTTATTCTCAGAGGTGTCTAAAATAAAAGATTATATTGACTAGGGTCTTTTCTTTGTTTTACTTCACCATTCTACGATACATGGTTCATGTATCTAATAGTCCTTAATTTTCATCCTCCCCGTAAAATTACTTGAAAACTGTACGGCACAGGAAATTTTTATTCACATCAGTGACTCTGAAATGTGAAATAATCCAGTACAGTCATTTTAATCAAAGTCTGAGATGTTGTTGTTGTTTAGTCGTTTAGTCGTGTCCGACTCTTTGTGACCCCATGGACCAGAGCATGCCAGGCACTTCTGTCTTCCACTGCCTCCCGCAGTTTGGTCAGACTCATGTTTGTAGCTTCGAGAACACTGTCCAACCATCTCGTCCTCTGTCATTTCCTTCTCCTTGTGCCCTCCATCTTTCCCAGCATCAGGGTCTTTTCCAGGGAGTCTTCTCTTCTCATGAGGTGGCCAAAGTATTGGAACCTCAGCTTTACAATCTGTCCTTCCAGTGAGCATTCAGGGCTGATTTTGTTAAGAATGGATAGGTTTGATCTTCTTGCAGTCCATGGGACTCTCAAGAGTCTCCTCCAGCACCATAATTCAAAAGCATCAATTCTTCGGCGATCAGCCTTCTTTATGGTCCAGCTTTCACTTCCATACATCACATATATCTGAGATGTAAAAAGGTAAAGGTACCCCTGCCCGTACGGGCCAGTCTTGACAGACTCTAGGGTTGTGCGCCCATCTCACTTAAGAGGCCGGGGGCCAGCGCTGTCCGGAGACACTTCCGGGTCACGTGGCCAGCGTGACAAAGCTGCATCTGGCGAGCCAGCGCAGCACACGGAAACACCGTTTACCTTCCCGCCAGTAAGCGATCCCTATTTATCTACTTGCACTTTAGGGGTGCTTTCGAACTGCTAGGTTGGCAGGCGCTGGGACCGAACGACGGGAGCGCACCCCGCCGCGGGGATTCGAACCGCCGACCTTTCGATCGGCAAGCCCTAGGCGCTGAGGCTTTTACCCACAGCGCCACCCGCGTCCCTACATCTGAGATGTAGTAGCTAATTAAAAATAATAATGTGGTGAACTGATGTGGAACAACTTCACTGAAGAAGATAACAGTGGTTATCCAGAGCGGCTTGCTACTTGCGAATGGGTCTCCATAACAGTTCAAGCTTCAGAGACCCAAAAATGCATTATTATTTTTTACTCTCTTGCGAAACTTGCGAAAAGAAAAAAATAATAATGTGCGCGCTCACGCAGCCAGCTTCACACGA